ATTCAGGAAGTGTCAACGAATGAACGATCCAACGTTAGCTCCAGAAGTTTCGTTCTGGCAACACCAGCCTTGAAGATGAACTTCATGTTTGGTGGTCTGCCGCCGGTCTCATCCATCACAGCTTCCTGAATCCTGGTGAAACAATTACGGCAGAGAAGTACTGTCAACAAATCGACGAAATGCATCAGAAGCCTTAACGCATGTGCCCAAGGTTGGTCAATATGAAGGGACTCCACGATTCCGGACTCTTCTCCACGACAATGCCCGACCACACTTTGCACAATTTACCCTCCAGAAAATAAACGGATTGGGCTATGAAACTCTGCCTCATCCACCATACTCACCAGACCTGTCGCCCACCGATCACCACTTTTTCAAGCATCTGGACAACTATCTTAGAGAGAAAGGCTTCAAAAACCAAGACGATGTCAAAAACGCCTTCAACGATTTTGTGGCCTCTAAAAAGAATTACAACCAATCTTGAAGTATCATTTAGAAAGAGCATTAGATAAGCTTTCGAATGATATATAACACTTACATTTTATTGGAATAAAATAAGTATTAAATACAAAAAACGAAATCCTGCATTTCTTTTGCAACGACCTAATAGATGAGCTTAGTTCCTCAAGTTAAGATCAGGTCAAAAATTTTTTTAAATTCCAACACCCCCCCCCGGCTGAAAAAAGTAATGAGATGGGCTAAAATTCATGACAGCAGTTGCACGTTTGTTAAAGAATCGTCCGGTCGGATTCCGAGGACACCATGAAAAACCGCAGCGCAGCCTATTTCATGAATGGGAAGCAACTCCAACAACGACTTCATGACTACAAAAAAAGTCAAAGCATGACGAAAAGGCATGGTGTTAATGTTACGCTTACAGAAGGTAAAGAGCAACCTAATGACTTACGCTTGTGAACACACACCCCTAAAGATCGTTCAGTTAGCAAAACACTCACTTGGCAAAGATGTTTGTGTTGCTGCGAGCGAGCTGTGTGACCAGTCTGCAGGTTCACTTCACCGGAATTAGCACGTTTCCTTGTGTACTGAAGACAACCGGGTTGTGAGTTTTCTGGAGGTGTGGACAAAATCCCTGGAGAGGTTGACCTATCGAGCCTGAAATGACTACCAAATGTCTACTATAGACTCTCTCTATTAGGCGTACTTTCGAACCACTACTACTACAGTGGGTAAAGTAACAGTAAATGGAGTCTACCTCTGACTCGTTGTTGAGTCTGGAACATCATCCGTTTTCCGCAGTGAATGACGCTCATACCACTCGTCGACGGCAGATGAAGAACCTGAACCACTCAAGGACGGGGTGCGATTGAACTGAACGCCTTGCTGATGCATTGGGGTCGAAAGTGCAACGTGGCTCAACATCGGATCTGACATTCCCATTGAATCCTATAAAACATCACACTGAATCCAGGAAAAAAGGAAGAGAAGAATCCACAGACGAATATACCGTATTTCGGTCATTTCCAATACATGCACTGCCAAGCATTACATCTTGAAGGTGCAAGGATTCCTCGCTCAGAGCACTTGTGTTGGTGCTAGACCCTCCTGATGGCGCCACAGGTTGATTGGCACCATTTGCTCGTGCTTCGACGCATGTGAGGCGATGACGCCGTAACGAGTAGTCGGAAGAGAGGACACTGAAACCTCATGTGTAAAATGGCATTTAAGAACGTTATCGGAAGAATACTCTAAATATTGGGACAGTGTGAGATACCAAAAAGTTTAACTGCTGCTTCACGCATGGCTAGGAATGGAATTCCGACACGACCTCAGGTTAACCAAGCCCTCCGTTTCTTTGGCTTCAGATATTTGGGTCCCATGTCATCAAATAGATGAAAGAGTGACTGGAGAAAAGAAGAGCACTGAAGTCGGCTTTTCCCCCACCTTCCCTTTACAGAAATAAATCTCAAAATCAGTTTTGCCCTTTTCCACAAAGGTAAAGGGAGCCCAAGGAAAAGGGAGCGCCATACGTTGGATAATCCTCAGCGGGGAGGGGTCGTAACTGGTCGCTGCAGGGAGTGGGAGGGTGACGTTTCGTCTGAGACATTTTGTATACTTGATTTTTCCTGTTTCGCGGGCGCTATCTACATCGTTGGGAGAATTCCATCAGTTGGGGGAGTGACGGAGGAAGGGGGGTCGCGGAGGTGTTACTAGAAGCTGGTGACGACCTCAACCCCCCCCCCGCCTCCCTCGATGGCAAATTTTTTGGGGAAAAACTGGAAAGTTTTTGGAAAATTCCGGAAAACGTGGTAGAAAGCTGGGAAAAGTTGGTAAGATAGTTGGAGTGCGGGAGGGCCAGAGCTAGCAGATGAGATATTCGACGGGGGTAAGTTCCCCAGCGGCAAAACGTGCTTAGCTAAGAAAGCGCTCAGAAAGCGCTGACCAGGAGATTATGCAATCAATAGCGACAGAATCAAAGAAAAATCATACCGATTGCAATCAATACAGACATGAGGTGGCCTCTTATTGACACGTACAGTTGACGGATTTGACTGAGGAACGGTCCGTGGGGCATGTTGAACATCTACCGGTACTGCTGAAATGCTCAATCATACCTTTGCAGATGACAGTTCCTTTATCGAGACTCTTTAACCCTGACTACCCTTTCAGCACTACTTCATCAGTGGCACATTATTCACAGTCTGCGACCGTGCTGAACGTGCCGAAAGGAGTGCTTCCGGTCTGCGAAAAGGTTCTGATACGTATCGATCGAGAAAACAGTCGAAGTATGGGTCGAAGCACCAGCTTTTGTTCGCTCTACCATTCTTCACTTGAATGGAGCCAATGAATTCGATACGGATCTATCTCTTAAAGGCATAAGGCTCGATAGTTCGGTATTCGGTCTAGAATGGTAGCAACAAGAGTGCTGTATAGTGGGGAAAACGCGAAGTGAAACGGTCAAAAACTTGCGAAAAAGCTTTCGTTCTACACGACTCAAAAAGCAATTTTGGACGAGTGTCCCGTCGAAATCGTGCCAGTAGATATGGCTGCATGTACGTACACATATACCTATGCAGCATCGCAGCTGATATCAATCCGCTCGCTTCGAATTTTACTTCGCAAAAGAAGCGATACGGGCATCAGCACCGGTCGGACATTTGTGGGCGGGCAAGTGCGGTGTTCGTCCGTAGCTTGACAGGGCGCTATAGACTTGGAGAAGGCCCACGCATCACTTGCTGAGGAGCGGCATAATTTGTACTGCCAACTTTTAATCCCAGACGTCCTGGCATTGATCGTCCCAGCTGCCTTTTTGCGCCAGATCCGACGTCGTTTCGCTAGCGCGATCAACACTTCTCCCAGTTCAGGTGCATCTATTTCTTTTCGCCGATTCTCCGACTCGTCAGGATTGCAGACCGTGAACAATGCCTTACAACAACTTTAATCATAAACTATTATAGAATAGGGGGCTGGCAATGTGAAATTCCTGCTTCGCTAGGAAATTCTTCACAACTGAAAGAGGTCATCATAAAAACGAACTTGACTATTGTAGGCTACGAAAATCTAGAAAAATCTCCTGAAAGTGGATGTGGAATTAATCTGAAGAGTAACGCGTAGAGATTAGAGTATGAACATACATTTTTGCTCGATCCATGAGCTGATTGAAGAATGGGAAGCAGGGTTCGAGTGGTACTGTCCAGTAACAGAAGTCAAGGTGTGCATTCTAGTCGAATCATGCATTTGAGAAGAGCTGTATCACATAGAGTTGCATATCACCCTCCTATCACAAATGTTACTCAGCTATTTCTTACCTAGGTTCAGCTTCCTCATGGAATGTGGTGTCCGCTTCAGCTAATTCCGTACGTGGTTTCTTCCCTTCAATCTCGGCCATCTAATACAGATCGCCATTAATTTATATTCATTATAGCCGGGTGGAAATTCAACTCGTACCTCCTGCTCAGCACTTCGCTTCAATTCAGCTGCAATCCTAGCGGTTTCAGCGCTTTCTTCATCGTCCACATACTCTCTTGTTCTGGACCAACTTCCTTCTGTGTGTGAATTTTGCACTTGATGCGGACTTATCCATGTATTGTTCACCTAAATATAGTAGCATGACCTCAAAAACACTGCGTGAACCACCACGCCAGAGGCAGCATTAAGACTTCGCGCGTCGACACACTACAGTTACGAGCGCGCTCCAATGCTACAGTACCCCAGGCTCTCCTTTGCTCTCCCTTAATACTTTACTTTTCATTGTTTTCCATTTCTACCTCATCTAAACTGATCTTTTTGACTTTAACATTCAATCTCAAACTAGTTATTGAGGCTGGACTACGTGATAATGGCACCGGATACTATTTTTTGCGTCTTGTTGATGGCTCAGCATGGAGCCAAAGGTATTGTACAGGTATTGTAGCCCGAAGATACTGAAGTGTTTGGCAAGTTTTTATCAAGTGATATACCGAAAGTATACGGTTTCTGTTGCAATTTCCCGAGGAATTATGGAATGAAAACAATTTCGTGATCGGGTAAGTGAGAGCAGTATAAGGTGTAACGTATGATTTTACATCATGCGAATAGCTACAACGAGATTGAATGGTCAAAAAGAGGAGTTCAAAATGAAGTATAAATGGAAAACATAGGAAGATAAGAGCAAAATATAATTAAAAACATGCAAGGGGACACCGATGTGCTGTAGCATTGGAGCGCGTTTTTAGTTACCGAGTGTATTACAGCGCGCCGACGGGCGACGTCGGAAGCTTGAACGCTGCCTGAAACTGCGTTGAACGCACCCTGTCTTGATACTTCATCTGCTGGACGATCTGCTGTGGAGATCCCATCATGTGCCCATCAGATTTATATTCACTTCTCGGAACTGCCATACGATTCACAACCTGTTGCCCTAGAGATGGAAGAGGCGGCGAATCACCCATACTGCCTACAGACTGTGCCGCACTCATCGGTCGCGACACTTCCTCTGCCGACAACTTGTGCACTGCCATTCGATGACGTTTCACGTTCTTGCGACACGAATAACTAAACAAATAAGCAATCAACACTTCAAAAATGAGTAGCTCCATCACTTACGTTTTCATACATTCCGGACATTGGAACTCGGAAGTGAGCGGGGCTGGCTGACGACTAGAAGATAAAATGCAGCCGGAACCTAATGTTGGGACACTCGTCTGTATCGCGTCCGAGCTACGGCGTTCACCTGTATCTCGCGATGTTCCGAATGTTGCGTTGAGGCGATCACTGAAATACATCACTAAAAACTTCTAAAATGGAAAATGAAAAGCTGGATCTGCGCTCAGCACATTCCTAAAGCCTGACCTAGGCAATGGTTGCGTGGTGATGATGCTCTCTAGTGGAGTGATGGGCGCCGATGAGCATGCAATTGCCTGCGATCCTACTCCTGCACTGGTCTTCGCGCTTAAAAAAACTTGTTGAGAAAGACGTATGAGTTAAGCTGACAGCCAACCACACGAAGAAAACGTACTCATAAATCGGCTTCTGTTCAACTGTCGATGAGCAGCGCATAACTGCAGCAGGCTGGGCGTTTATTGGAAGACGAGAGATGAGATTCGTACACTTGTACGTCGTTGTGGACGTCTTGCGCTCCACCATTTGCGCTGGCTCCTGCACGTGATGCTTTTCTTCGCTGGCAGCTTCGGACTCCTCGACGTGCTGTTCATCGTTCGGCTAAAATATCAGGAATAAGGACACCACAGCAATCTTCTGTCTGGTGGGACCAATACTCGCCCGTAAGCCGAACACCAGGGCGAAATACAAGTCCTTCTTGCACGAAAAACGCCCCTTCCTCCCTTTTTTAACGCTCGTACAGCGATAATTCCTACCCCTGTCAAAAGCTCAGCAAGATAATTCCTCACCGTTTCGATATTGTTGTTGTTGTTATTATTACTACTAGCATTTTTGCTTCCATCATCGCTTTCGACTTTTTCCACCGTTGGTGCAGCTGAGGAGGCCATGGCGTTCTGGTTTTGCTGGTTCTGAGCTTCTAGTACCTTCTGCTGCATATGCTGTGCTCGTAGGTGTTCACCAACAGTTATCTTAAATCGGAGAACATTAAAATCAAGGAAAAAAGAGAATGAATGTGAAATGACAAAACTCACCCATGGTCTTTCTCCGACTATACCCTGATCTTGTACAATAACGAACGTCCCGGTGTTGTCAGACGTAGTTCGGCTTATCATCTGTGGCTGTTGTTGGGAAACGTGCTGATGCGCTTCTTGGCTTGCTGCCAAAGCAGCTGCGTACGAACGGTCAATGATCATTCTTTCGCGTGCAGCTATCTCAACCGGTTGCCATTTCTTAAGAATGGATTTTTATAAGTTGGGTTGAACACTCTTAGACAGACTGCTAGATGTTGTGTAATAAAATTCCCTAGAAATTCAGAGCAAAAATCCTGAGCAAAAAAGGCTTAAAGTTGTTACAGAAACTTTTAGCCTTTTTCGACTATTTCTGTGCCTAGCACGTTCCTCAGCGTTCGGACACACTCAGCTGTCAAGAATAGCTTTCCTCTGAGACATCCCCGTCTAGAAGTAATTTCCTAGGATTTCTTCATCTCTTCAAGGCAGAGTTCCTGTATAGGGCAAGGATGAAAGGATAAAGTGGTTATACTTATAGTTGGCATAACAAGATAGGAACAAATGATAAGGCTGTTGATCAATCTCTTTAAGGGATGCCATTCAGAATCCCAGTGAATGATTGAATGGGATAAGCCCTACTACACAATGACTTGCAGGTGTCAGCCAATTAACAAGTCAGTGTTTTATCGTCCCAGACGAATATGGCATCGGTTTGGGATAGGAGGCTTGGTTGGCCTGGGCGGAAGCCGATCCGGGATTTGATCCGGCGCCGTGCGAGTGGTAAGCGTGCCGCTTGTCACAACACCACCCCGCCTCACCTATAAAGGGTAGCTACTCCTGTTAGCAGAGCAGACCCAGGTGGTTGAGGAAGGTGCAAGAGCCCGGTCGAGGAAAAAATTTTGCAAGGATTTTTGACATCTTTTTCGCCCTCAAGACTTTTTTTGGCGCAGTCGAGAGAGCGGGGGGGGAAGAGATTTTGCACTTTCGCAGCTTCACCATTTCCAGTTTAGAAGTCGCTCTCTGGTGTCTGGTGAAACTGAAGCAAGGTTGTTGAGCCATCATAGTAAATGGTATTTGCATGGTTTTTCATTGTTTTACAAGGGTTGATAGGTGTTCTCTACAAATTTTGGCTGGTATCACTTCGTGGATTCACAAGATTCGACAAATCTCCATTTGATGGCTCATCATGCCCATGCGAAGTGGAAGAGCGAAATGTGCCCCTCCCCTCTCCCTCTGTCGCCGATTTGCGCCTCAAAAAGTCTTCGGAAGTCCCCACCTTACGCAGAGTTAAGGGCCTATGGGGCTGTAAAACAGCACGTTATTCATACTCTTACCTGCTGTTGAGCAGGCTTTGATACTGGAGAAACAACACCACCGTTTCCTGAGTACTGCCTAAAAACCTATTTTGAACAGCAGTAAAGCATGGCGAAAAAGCAAGTATAAAAATCACTTTTGCATGACGATCTTGCATGTGGCACGATGGCGTTTCAAGTTGCTCGCCGAACACAATTGCCGGTTACAATCCTCACACGTGTTGTTATTGGCAGCCAGCTTGGGAACGCTGTAATATGCGAATAAATCAATGTCAAAATATGCTTGACAACATATTTATAAACAAGTAGAATTCAATCAACTTGTAAGCTGTCATATCACAACGACAATATTTTCTGATGGCTTGGTAATTTTATGATTAACCATCCAGTTGAAAGCTTTCCCTGTTCGTCATGGCCTAAAGACGGTCCCCGCGCTCAAGCAGATTATAGGCGACCTTCCATTCCAGTAGTTTGGTCGGCAGTCTCCCAGGATGCCCTTTTGTGGCTTCACATTAAGTAACGAAGTCACTCATAAATGGCAGTTCCAACGCCATGTTGCCCCCACCAAAGCTAAGCCTATCTTTTGTCACGAATTCAGTTCTGACTCCGAGTTTTTCGTTTTTTCACCGCTAGACAGTATTAACATTGGATGATGCGGAGAAACGATTAGTGAGCCGGAGGCGGCAGGAAACCGCTTCGCTGGCATAAAACGAACAAGTCCGAAGAACTGGGAACTGCGAGGCTGCCAAGGGTCCTCAAGGTGCTCTCCATTATTTTTTTTCTTTTTGCCCTCAGTGGAGAGTCACTTAGCAACTATAGGGTTCTTTCTGATAAAACACCTTACGAAGATGACCCACTTAAAACAGTTACTAGGTGCTCCCATGACCAAAGCATCCAAGCTTTATTTGAAAAGGAACCTAACCAAAAAACCTAGTCATTTAGGACAACAAAAAGCTTAGGAGAGAACCACTGGTCTCAAAAATACATTTCTCGCTCATCTCCCCTCCAAGGCAATCAAGAGTATATAGAAACTGTTCGTAGTTCTTTACGAAATCGTGTCTTCATGGTCACGCAGGCATTACCATTCAAGGCTACGCGTACAATACAAATTTGACCGCGAGTTTCGCCGTAGAGGTCGCGCTTTTTAAGTTCTAAAAGGGCCAGCCAAAAGTTTGCAGAACAAGAAGCTTCGAAAAAAGCTATGGATTTTACGCATGGCGTTTTTCGGGTGAGCAGGGGGCACATATCAGGCGTCAAATGCAGTGTTATTCTCCACAGCAAGCCCCCATCCTTTACCTATGCGACGCCTCAGTTTATTGTTCAAGCAAGCGGCTGGTGTACTGCTATGACCGCCACCTACGGAACCATATGTTCATTTACTACGTGTTGCAACATGCTACGACAAAACACGCTTTTCAAAATGAATGTGACTGCTAGGTTGCTTATTATCAATATCTCGCCGCGACAGCGCTCCCAAAAGAAACCAGAACAACAACCAGAACAAAGAACAACTCACTGGTAGTGAGCATAGGTGCTTGTAACTAGGGAGTGCCAATAGGAACATCGAAGAATATTTTAGCCTCGACTGTAAAGCAGCGCTCAGACTTCGCGATCGGATCGCTCGAGCGAATAAATCGCGCGATTACCGGGGGAGGCTCCACTGCCAAACGATGCACCGCTGCAAGGACACAATCCAAAGTGGCGCTGTGTGAACGCGGCCCGAATTGAAATTTGCCATTGCGGCGATGTACCGCTTGGCGGTGGAGCGCCACAAGGGCACCGATTTGAACGTGGTCTCGGACTTCGCGACGAAAGGGGTTGACGCACTGTAACGCGCGTTGACGCTTACAATTACAATAGCGTTCCAGTCCTAGCAAATGCAGCCGCGGCCAGGAATCGATTCGCGTCTTCCGCTTTGCTTTGAGCGAGTATAGGATTAGAGGGCGGGCACTGCCTATACACAATCTGGAACACTCCCTTTCCTTTTATTTCTCCCAAAGCACCAGCATTCTCCCAAAGTCGGTTCAATACCAGACTGCGTGATTAGCGACGCGTACGTTCCTGTTCCCCATAGCCAAGGACAAGCGGCCGGCGCCGATTGTTTCCCGGCCGTGTTCGCGTTTATAGATGTGGAACGGTTACAAATGTAATGCGTCAACGCGCATTAGGTTACATATTATGCTTGCAGAGTGGAAATGCGTTGAAGCTCGACTTTTAAGCAACGCAAAATATGATCGCGGAACCGAACTCGTCGTTAGTTTCACCTGGTGATCCCCACCCAGTTGTCGGGGGAACGGTAGAGAATTGAACGTTGTAGTGGAGCTTTCGTTACTGGTTTAGTTGGGAACGAAATGTTGAATTCACTGTGTTACAGCGCGCTCGAATAAGACCATTTTTTAGAAAAAATAAAATCATAGGAAGATTACTTCTGTAAGGAAATGAGTACACGACAAAACACACCACAACAAAGACTGCTGAGGTGAAGTCGACGGTGCGCAGATGCAGTCGGATGATGACGAACAGCGACATGAGGACGACGTAACGAGCGGCAACTGAGGAGGAGGGGCATTCGAACATGGATCAAACTGATAGTTGTACCACCATTTTCAGCAGGAATCACAGTCACTACGGCGTTGACACGCGATGATGATGAGGGTAACGAGCATGAAGTGGATTTCATAACACCATGAGAAACAGAAGAGTTCATAGCCGCCAGTGTGAGCAAATCACCACCGCCTGATGCTGTAGCTGTGTTGCTCTGAGAAGCTGATGAGCGGCTGAAAATCAGAAATCACCACTACAACATAAGGACCACACTAAATCACGCCACAGGCTCGGAAAAAATTGTCAGAAATGAGATCGACCAACATCTTTGGAAGCCTTCAGACCGCTTTCATACTTTGCCTCAGCGTCCACCGGCGTTTCGAGTGTATGCCAGTGCCAGCGACTAGGAAAGCATAAACATCGATCTAGCGTCCGCCAGCGTCTACCACCGTCCATGAGTGGGGAGTATGGGAAAGTAGGAGAGTAGCAGACAGCTGCTAGGCGACGCGAAATTGCGGAGTGTGCAACAGCGCCTTACAATTGCCAAAGCACAATATTAGGCAATTTCGACGTACGGGGTAGTGCAGTTACAGACTGTTGCCCACGCAGCAATTTCACGTCGCCAAATCTAGCTGTCTGTTTTCCTGTTACTCCCAAAAACTCTTCACTATCGGATGCTGGTGGACGTTTGTAGACGCTGGCGTCCGCTAGATCGATATCTAACTTTCCTAGTCGCTGGCGTTGGCGGAAGGTGGACACTGACGCAAAGTATGAACACAGTTTTAGAGGCGGACCAGTTAGTCTTGCAACATACTTTGAGCTAGACATTCGAGCGGTGGTTGAGAGGAGGATTGTTGCCGGGAGACAAAGGGCGGTTTGAGCTTCTCTTTATGCTGGCACTCTACAGGAGTCAATAAAGACAAATTAATACAATGGCGAAAGATCGTGGCTGGCATGAAAAAGGCTGTATAGGAATCGAAATCATAAGGAATGCGAAGACAGACGTCATAAATTTGGAGTAATGTGTTATAACTCATGCTAAATACAAAAGATACTTACTTCGCGTGTCGGGAGGAGGACATTCTCAGCTATGTAATTGATTGCAGGTGTGTGGTGAAGTTTAAAAACTAGTAAGACGAGAACGTGACGTTCTTGCCGAGTTCACGTATCTGAAGAGCACACCCATCAAAGCATGCGTCACTTGAAAAAAAACTAGAAGAGTGGGAATTATTAAGATTCGAACTTACACAAATATAGTACCAGATGAGTGAGTCCCTGTGGATGCAGAACTTGTCGAATCGCTGCTTGAAAGTGCTCGAAGGTTCATCGAGGTAAAAGAGAGTGGAATGCAAACTAATGCATCTCCGGGCGCATGAGATGCTGCAGATCCCTTATTTGACTGATTTCAGTAGAGCAATTGCATTATTGTTAAGCTCGAGCACAGCTGCCGATTGTTACAGGAAGTTGAAGCCATAATAGAAAACGTGACATATAATCGAAATCCTGAGATGGGTGGTTGTGGCTGCATGCTTCAATAATCTATACTTGAAGGAGTAGTGGTGGTAAGATATTTTTATCGTGCTATAAATTGTGGGTGTGTCTCTGTCACACGGTACAAATATGTTGGTCCAGAGGACTAGAATGTTCACGAGTAAGGCGTGCGATGTTCAAATGCAGGACTCAGAGTTTTCGCACAAAATGTATCGGGTTAGAAGAGGATGAGGGAAGGGTGGACTAAAAAGCCAAAGTTCATTTGTAGACAAAAAGAAACGTTGATTTGTTTGGCTGCTTTAGACTCGTAAGGGGATGTAAGATAACGGCGCTGATACTCAGGAGCATATGCGAGGTAGAAGTGAGTGGTGGTTGTATAAGAGTGAACTTGAGAAGAGATATTGTGTGTGTGAGTTCGTCTGCAACAACTACAGGCTGGTGCTGGTAGGGAGAGGGATAGTATGTTCTTCATTAATTCTATGATCCTTTTTGGGCAGTAGTTTTGTTTTTTTTATTGTTCCAACCTCAACAATTGTTTGTTTTCGGAGACGTTTCATCTCCATGTTGTGCACATAACATACCAATGTTAAATTACTGTTAATCCCCAGTTCATCTATTGGGTTGGCACATAAGTACTTTCGTTTTTTTTTTTCAACCGGAAATTTCGTTCCAAAGATGAAATGTTTTGCTAGCAAGCTTGATATCATCTGATAGGAAACTTCACGTAGTTTTAGAATATCAAAACGGCTTCGGTTGAGGGGATGCTGAGATGGAGAATAAGAGATTTTTGGTGAGAATTTTTATAGTTAATAGTTGAAGTTGAAGAGGCGAAAGGTCGGCTCAAAAAAATTGGACGAGAGAGCGGGAGGGGCTTCGCCTTCGACAACTGCCTCTATTTACGTATAGTCAAAGTGCTAAAATCGCTTAAGCTGCTCCATACATTTGGAAAAGGTCGAGCTAGAAGTTCCAGCAAGGGAATCTCACTAGGACGCTTTGGAACGAATTTCAAGAATTTTGAAGTTATAACGCTTACACCGTCGCCGATATTGGGCAGGTCGACGATCCTGTTCCACTGAAATTTTATGCTACTCTTTAAAACTTTAGCTGAGAATAATGTTTCTGCAATGTTATAGATAGTAAATTTCGTGCTCTAGTAAGACTGCTATAAGGGAAATTGTTCTGGACAGAGGTGGTGTTGCTTTCCTGCTAAGTTCAGGTTATGATTACGGATCGCGGAATACTCAGTTGAGATGGGGTCCAGTTCTTCATGGAAATTAGAGGATTGCCTGGGCGTAAACGAGTTTATGGAATGGTTGTCGAACTAATGTGTTCTATATGTTCTGATAGCCACTTTCGTGTTCTATAACATGACATAAAAATCAGCTCTTCGGAGCTGTTTACTTTCTGTTAAGTTCAGGTTATCTTTACGGAACGTGAGGTCGATGAGAATTAGAGTTCCCGACTTCCTCTCTCAACCGCTGTCCACTGAAGCTTCACGCTGCCTAGAGCGCTCAAAGGGATAAAATCGCACGATGGTTTGAAGTAAGGATAGTGTAACAAGAGTAGTGTTAGGACACGTCTTAGCGAATTTCCGCGGCATGCAGACAGCTTGATACATCTTGTTGAAAATGCGTGAAAAAGGAGAGATGTTGAAGTGGCTGATGCTTTCGACTGAACAGATTCATATTATACCTGAAAAACAAGGTTCCTCGAAACAATTTCAGAATAACTGCAGCTGTATATAGAGCCCGAATTAGGGCTATCAGAACAATATCGAGCATAGTTACGAACATTGTAAAAAGGTTAAGCGATAAAATTCGTGGGAGAACGGGAACGCTTAGTATCTCACGATTTCGGTTGGTGATATGATAACCTGAACTTAGCGCAGAAAAGCAAACAACCTGGCTGGGAGACGGATTTCTATAGGCAGGATAGATTTTTATAGACGCAGAAATATTCTATCAGAATATCTCACATATCAAGTAAAGTTCTTTAAATATAGTAGCATAAAATTGTCAGGTGGAAACAGAACTGACTCCAATATCGGAGGTGAAGGGTTGGGTACTTCAAAATTCTTGAAATTCGTATCAAAGCGTTCTATTGAGAATTCTTTGGTGGACTTACTAGTCGACTTTTCATGTAATGGAGGAGCTTAAGGCGATTTTAGCACTTCGATTAGTAAATAAAGCGTTGTCGGGGTGGTTTAATGTTATCGCCGAGCGGCATCGCTTTCAAAATCAACTTAGAATACTCTATGAGGGTCAAAAAAAGTGCGCGAACAAATTTTGCCCGCTCAAAGAAATAGGATTGTTGATTATTTAAAGACGTGAGTGTTCCATATCAGATGATATCAAGCTTGTAGAAACGTTTCATCTTTGAACGGAAATTTCCGAGTTGAGAAAAAAAACGAAGTAAGTTATGTGCGACCCAATATTTAAGAAGAGCTTTCCTTCTGCTGGAAGATTTGTTCTGTTTTTTCTGCTTAAAGTACGGGTGAAACGAACGGAGATTGCTATCAGTATGGAGCATGTTGCGGTCTAGTTGTAAGAGATAGACCGTAGAGTAAGCTGGCACACGAGTGATAGATGGATGATGATCAGCTCTGATCAACGACAATCAGCACAGCGTCGGATGATATTGGTGAACTCGCTAAAATGCGCTAGTAGCGGCGTTGTATTGTTGGGGAATGGGAAAGAATAGAGTGAAACGGTCAAAAGTCTTGCGAAAAAAGCCCGTTTCAATACTTAAAATCAATTTTTGATGAGAGATCCTAGGCATCTTGCCAATGACTGCTACCTAATATACGGCTGCATATGTGTACTCATATATGCATGCAGCATCACGGCCGCTTCATACCAATCCCTTCGCTTCATAATTTGCTTAGCAAATGAATGAATACGAGCGTCAGGAACGGTCGTCCATTTGTGGGCGGGCGGGCGTTCGGGTCGGTATGTTGTGGCTTGATAGGGCCCTTATAAGGGCACCTCCCTTGGAAAAGGCATTATGCAGCGCCTGCTCAGGGTCGCGGAATTCCGTCCTGCCAGGCGTACTAATCCTACTCGTCTTGGGGATAAAAACGTGCCAACTGCCTTTAACTCAAGTTCATGAGAAGAGAAAAGGCGATCACTAGGGTTCGTGTTGAATTTCGATGTGTAACAGCTCGCTGATCAAGTAATACGACGTATGTGCAAAAACACGGCAAGCTCCCGCTAATTTCGTTTTTCTGCCGCGCAAGCTCTCTATTTGAAAACCCCAAAACGAAACATGAAATGCCTCAAAATTTCAGTCTCCTAACGGATGTGGGTGACGAATTCAGGGTATTGGTCATAACTCTAAGAACAGTTGGCTCGCATATAGTCATAGGATTGATCCCTCAGGTCTCATGACATTAGTTGAACCGTTTCTTCTCCAATGCGCTTGATCCGATCAATATATTCATACTTGGTTTCCTGGACATGCTTTCAAGGTAAAGTGAGTCAGCGCGAAGGTTATTTTTTGTATAGATTACAGGGATAAGAGTATCAGAGTTCGGTACGAGAAGTGGGGCAATATGGGTGATCAAACATCCAAACATGAGTAATAGTTTGAACACTCAGAAATCAAAAACCAAAACTGCTACGGAAAATGGTGATTAATAGTTAAGCGTAGTGTACGAAAACTTAGGGGGCGGAGGGAGGGCGGTTTGTCAATCTCGTTACTACTGGAGCTCGACTGTAACAACAGCACATCGCCGTCAAGTCTGAACGTAGACAACGTTAGACAAAGGAGTGGTATGAGGTATTTTCGCGGAGCTGGCAGAGCACTTTCCACAACAACTGAAGGGGGGGGGTCGGTCGGTACGTGCCTTTGTGGGATGTGGTACGAAATACTGAGGCCAGGTCTCACGGTCATAACCCACACAGGGTAGCTTAACTATTAGAAATGACTTTTATCTTTCGTACTGAAACTTTTGGCGCCTTTTCACATTCACGTTCGAGCTTGTTTAGATTTGGCCAGTAAGGAAGCCGTAAAAACAACGTTAGAACCAGAGAACATGATGAAATGGATCAGCGATCATGGCAACAAAAAATACAAGGAAACCTTTGAGCTCTGAACGCTCCTTTAACTGCGAACCTTGTCAGCAGATGTGAAGAAAAGACGGAAGGAACTTGTGATGAGAAAAATTATTACCTATTGGGATCCAGTGTACCGAGCTGATCGGCTGGCTCATTCATACAACGTTCGTGTTGACTAGATACAGATTGCGGGGCGGAATAACTATTGCTGCGGGACCAGTCCGCGTAATGTTGATCATCAGTAGACTGGAAATATAAACCAGTTTATATAATGAACTTCACAAACGTTCCATAGAAGTAATACCCACGAGGTTATAGTTAGAATAAGAAAGGTTAGAATACGATGACGTTGGTGATATCATCACCGAGGTAGAAGTTGGGCATATTGCAACGGAAGACGTGGGTACTGCAGATGAAGGCATTCCCATAACAGTGGCAGCGTTACCCATTCTAGCAGGACAAGTTTGGCGATGACGCTGAAGCTTAGTGTTGGCATTCAGCTCTTTTTCGACAAAGGGTATAGAATAAACATCATGTGAAGGATATATACCTGTAAGTTTCTAGTGCTAGTTACAGTTTTGTGACAGTCGGGACATGCGTAGGCGATACGAGGCGGCTGTGGCGCTACAGTGCCGCTGCGTTGCTGAGCTTCCATTGCCAGTCGTTGCTGCTTTGTAGCTGATAGAATCTGCGATACATTCCTGAAAAAGGCAAAATATACGGGGCCCACTGATTTTATTACTGAATTTCCTCAGAATGCGTTCATACTTTGCGTCAGCATTTTGAGCGTACGCCAGCGTACGGTAGCATTTTAAGTGACCAGGAAAGTGTAGATATCGAGCTAGCGTCTCGAGCGTGCGCCATCTCAAGCGCTACGCTCAAAACACTGAATCGATAACAATACTTTTATGAAATACTGCCGTATGGTAGATCGATATCTACACTTCCTTAGTCGCTAAAAGCGCTCATAAGTGACTTTGGCTTCGCTTCGATTACACCCATTGCTTTTTTAGGCAAGTGCGCCACTCCTTCTTTGCTATCACTCCACTCTTTCGAGGCTGGGATATAAAGCGCATTTGCAAAGGCGCACACACAGGCGACGACGCGCGCGACAATTCTAGACAAAGCTGGAACTTTTTCCTGCCCATACACCTGCGTGTCATTTGGTCCTTAAACACCTCGAATTCACATCATTCGTATGGATAACGAAAAAAAACAAGAAATAATACAAAATATGTAAAAAAAAGGAAAGAAACATTCGTGGCGTTCAAGGTAAAGGTCGCCTTATGCTCCAGAGAACTGGTGACTGAGAATATGCCAAAGTTTTTCCAATCACGCCCGTGAATTTCCAAGTTTGTATCTCGTTTTGCCATCACACTGTTGCATTAAACGCGGAAGCTGCAAAGAACAGAAATAAGCTGCACCTGGCTACTTCGTCCTCAACCCTCTTTGGATCGATCGCCTCCTTTTTCTGCGTGCTGCGAGACGCTGTTCTTCGACTGGGAGTGCTTCCGTGCGATTTCATGGTTGAACTAGAAACAGATGAGGAATAACAACCTAACAGCCTCAAAGAATACGGAAAGTAATTAGAAACGTTCCCTTAGAGTACCTTAATAGAGTCCTGACGGGAGCATATTGCGTGCACGTCGATGGGTCGGCAGTCTTCACAGGATAGGTTGGAACATTTCTTGGCTGATCATATCTGAAAAAAATACTGTTTCAGCACCAGCCCAGCTGGTACGAAAAATCGATATGAGGCTATATTCTTGGAAAACAACCGACCTAACGACATTGTTGTCGTATTTGTTATTTTGAACCGTTGCAACATGATGTTCTGTCCGACCGCTTGTTTTCATTTGAGTGCTGGGATTCACTGCAATAGGAAATCCTGTTTTGGGCGTAATACATGAATGATGCAAAAGGAACACCCAGGAGCCTCTTGAATTTTCCTCTAACGATATGCCATGTGGTTCGCTTTGGAAATATTTGTTTTGTCCTAAGAAAGGTCTACCTTGGGTGAAAGGAACAGTATCGTTGCCAAATAAACTCTTCTGATCGTTAGACAATTCATCTCCAAATGCGCTGTTGACATCGTACAAGGATGATGACCCTAAAGTACAATTTAGCTTATAAAAAGGGACACAAAAGATGGATGACTTTCACTAGAGTGCTTTTACTTTGCGTCAGCGTCCACCAGCCTCCGGCTGTACTCCGGTGACTAGGAAAGTATGCATATTGGTCTAGCGAACGCCAGCGTCCACAAGCGTACAGCAGCGTTTTCGCGAGCATTTTTTGCTCGATTTCAATAGTGCCCGCGACGCTGCGGTACACTGGTGAACCTGGGCTGTCGTTAGTTCAATACCTATATTTTCTAGTCGCTGGCGTTAGTGTACGCTCGAAATTGAGCGTCCATAAGCGTTTTAAGCGAACATATGTATGCATTCATAGTCGTAGGTGGACGCTCAAGACGCTGACTTTCGGAACGCTGAAAACGCTGTTGGACGCTCAAACGCTGCCATAAAGTGTGAACGCTCTCTTAGTGGCATGAAAGTAATTAACGTATGCACCGTTATAATCGTCGAATCCTAAGGTTCCTCCACCAAAACTTCGTGGGTCCAAATAGCCTAGAAAAAGATATATATGCTCTAGGATAAAAAATATAAAAGATATCAAATAATTCTAGCGTTATTACAGCCGCAAAAATTTCATCAGTGAAAAACATTTTCGTACAAACGCACCGCCCATTTCGTGATGTGCAAGCTCCATGCTCATCACGTCGTGCACATTTGGTTCAAGAAGAGCCGTGGAGAAGGGTCCATTACAACCATCGCCATATCCCAGACCTGATGAAAATTCGTTTGATACACATATGAGCGAAGAGCAACTACAAAACGCTGGCGTTAACAAGAGACTGGTTAATTGAGGAGAACCTACTGGCTCAACTGTGGTATGGGGTAACAATTGTGAGCAATAACTCTACCGTTATAAGCGTTCGCCGGCAGTTTTGGACCTTTAGCGAGCAGTCGCTGAAAACGCTGGCGTACGCTGAAACGCTACACCGCTGTCCATATTTTCTAATCACTAAAAACGCTGACTCAAAGTATGAACGCACAGAAATCGATATAATGGACAAAACAAAGCATTCGTTGTTTTCGGGGCCTAGGTGGCGTAGGTGAGATACGTACCGATCGACCCAATGGATATAACCCCCATAATCCATGACTGGGCTCAGAAGATTGTTGACTAATAATAAACTAAGGAGGGAGGACTACGATGTAGCTGAGAGGACGACTTAAAAATGGAACTCTAGTTTCATGAAGCGTGGTTCACCCCATTTTTACCTGGCCTTCTTCAAGGTCCAGGTGGATTTAACTTTGTTGCTGTTCGCTTATTTTGCCTGGACTTATCTTCAGATACACGTCCCTTGAAGATAGCCGTTTAAATTTTTTATCGTCAGCAGTTGAGCAGTCAGCAGTCAAATTATCGTCAGCAGTTGTTTTCTTCTATCAGGAACTGATACCCACCTAGTAATGGAGTACTGGGAGCTGCTGGAGAAGGGACAGACGATTGACGCTTCCACATACGTGACCCAGCTGCGGAAATTGAAAGATCACGTCGACCGTACTCGTGGAAGGAATGCGGAAATCTACTTCCACCATGACAACGCCCGACCTCACACTGCAAAGGCGACCCAGGCCGAGCTGGAGAAGTACGGATGGCTGATGGTCGCCCACCCTCCCTACAGCCCTGACCTCGCTCCTTCTGACTACTGGCTGTTCAGCCACCTGGACGGAAAAAAGTTCGAAACAAAGGATCAGGTCAGAAAGGCGCTCGACGACTTCTTCAAGTCCCAGCCTCCGTCGTTCTGGAAGGATGGAATCGACAAGCTGCCTGAGCGCTGGCGTCGAGTAGTGAATGGTGATGGTGCATACCTCTAATCTCCAGGCTGGTTCGCTTTTGAGATATTTACAAAAAAGTCGTGTATAAGAACTTATGCGACAACCTAATACACAGACATAGTTTTACAAAAATAATAAAGTGAAATATTTTCTAACTCACTGTGCACATCTTCATCATCGAGCGAGTGACGAGTCACAAGCGGTGGTCCCTCCATCGGAAACAGTTGACAGAGGGAACTACAAAGGCGACATCTTTGATCTGAGAGAAAAATTATTACCTTGAAAATTACCGAGTGAATAAAAAACGCCCAATGCATAGAATAGCTGCGACGGCATAAACAGGAAATATTACGTCAAACACTTTCGAAGAGATAATGAGGTAGAGTTTATGGAAGCAAAGCAATGAAAACATTCGCAAAAGAGGCGTGCTATGAATAATCCATGCATACAATGGAAAATGTGCACGCTGCAAAACGCTCTGCGCGCAAAATAATTGCCCACAGAGCACGGAAATGCAGCTTGAAGCGGGTTGTCATCCGATGATTACTTTCAAGAAATGAGGAAAATTTGAGAAAAAGGATGCACACAGAATGCATATACCGATTAGAAAACGTAACGAATCTGCGAATTCGGGAAAAATGTGGAAGTGGGGGGTATGGCGAATTTTGCGACAAAGACTAGAGAGAATTTCTCGTTAAGCCCTGCCCTCTATAATGTTTCGAGGTAAAGGCAATTCCGCAGAACCTTTGCGTAGGTGTAAGGCCTTCGGAAGAATTGAGAGAATAGAGTCTAATCAATACACAAGCATTCCTCTCCACGCGACCTCACGTTGTTCCCAATTTCGCGAACGGGTTGTCCTTCAGCACTGCTCCACTGGTTTTAACCCGAAGCTGTCCTGCTTCAATGTATCGGAGAATAGTTTCCTGTTTTTTCACTTATGTGAAGCAATTTGGCAACTATTACGGTGTACTTTGACAGTCGATAATAAATTGTTGGGTCGTTAGGCTTTGCGTCTCTCCCAATGCCACGGAATCTGTGTGTTTGAGCACGCTCACCCCTGGGCAGGTGACAGACCTGTGTTAAAATGTGTTCTTACTTTGCGTCACGATTTCCTTGAAAGACACTTCATGCGATCAAGTGATCAGCGAAATGTCTCCGTGCATTCGTTGCCCGCACTCACAGAGAATATACCACTTTCGTCACTCGAAATGGCGAGATAACGAAGCTAGAGACGCGTGACTTTTGCAACCGGTGCAACCACGATTACTTTCACTCTGCAAGACAACGGCTTACAAGCGGAATCGCATGTGTACATAGCGTTGCCTGGAGCATCGTAGGGCGATTTCCTATGCTCTTGCCGGGAGTTGGTTGCACCCAGCCTGCCGTGTACTCACGATGAACTCGTCCAAGGCGCCGCCCCCCCCCCCCTACTAGGGGGAGTCTGTGCTCAGGATGTTCCCAAATTTTTTTTGCTTCTTTCTCTACTGATGAGTTGTTGATGGGTTACTGGTTCATTGCTGAGCACCTGCTACCTGTTACATGATCGCGGGAATTGTCTTCAAAAGCTAGAGTGATACCTATGGTTTTCTATTTGCATAAGCGCTGGCATTTTCTGACAACGCTAGCGTCAATAACTACACTTTCCTAGTCACTCAAAACTCTGACGCGAAGTATGAACACATTATTATAGCTGCACCGTCAATTCATATCCGCGCCAAAATACTGATCTACGTTATCATCATGGATAAGGCACCGTTCAGACTTCGCGACGACAGCCTCGGTCGCACGTTCGGGCGCGATCACATGCGCATGCTTTCGACTGCATCACCGTGTCGAACGCGCCACTGAAAAGCTGCCGTTGCGAAGTCCGAACGCTGCCTAACAGTCAGAGTTTGTCACAAATTGGCGTTATCGGCCGCGTCTCACTATATAGTATCGGACAATAGACTGAAAAGATTACAAACTGAACGACTAATTGATCTCCCAACCGTCTCCTCTGTTGTGTCTGTTGGCTTGTGGACTTTTTCAAACGTTACCCACTGCAGTTACACAATGCATATTGCCAAAAATAATCCAGCAAAATTATAGGGTGCTGTTGATTGGGCGTGGAAGTTAGTCAGAGCCAACGCTCCACAATGGATGCCATCCTGAGCCCGTTACAACTGGTGAGGAAGTGCTGCACAAGGACTGATGCCCCGTCATACCCTTATCGTTTAGAGGAATCACGTCTATATTCTAACAGCAAACCTGAAAATGTCCCCTGGATCATGCGGACATTTTACGGGCTCGTAATGTTGGTTCTTTAATTGTTTGCCTGAAGTACACGGAGACTTTCAGCTAAAATTTATCGATCGTCAAACAGAGAAAAGAAGCACTAGAGATGAACCGGAGGAAAGAAGCACTAGAAATGAACTAGACTGAAAACCAGCGATCCATAATGAATACTGGATCGCATGATGCTTCGAGACAACGTAGTACCCAGGTGGGCGCTGTTTGGCGACGGGGGGGGAGGCATTTTGCACATTAACGACTTCCCATCGACGTGTCGACCCATCTAGACAGCCTCTTCTCGAGTTGACAGGTTTTACCATGATGGCTTGACGAGCTTGCTCCAGCTTCACAAGAGTTCACAGGTTTCACCAGAGTGAGACTTGTAAACCGGAACTAGTGAAGCAACGAAAGTGCAAAATGCCCCCCCCCCCGTCGACAAATGCATCCCCAGATCTTTTTCTCAGAATACAGCTTTCAATTTCCCGCTACAAGCCTCCATGGGAGCTCATTTGGCTGATGCTGATCTTCAGGCAGTCAGGCTGAAACGCTGCCACTTTAAGAGGAAGCAAATCACCGACTGAATGGCGAACAGTGAACGTGGCTTAGTGAGATGCATACGTACAGGACGTTA